AAAATGTATTGTGGTATATTTTTATTGGGATACAAAAAGGCCAATATCGTGATCGAAGATTTTTGCCATATCGCCCACCGCTAATCTCAAGCATCACAGTACATACAGTATACGTTTGTGTGTGTGTGTGTGTGTGTGTGTGGAGGGAGGGGGTGAGCCTGTGGAGGTTCCTTCCCACATGGCAGCTATTAACTCGCACGCACGCCTGATTAGAACCACATTGAGTGCATGCACCCACACGTAAAGTCCACTGCGCGCGCGCGCGCACACACACACACACACACACACACACACACACACACACACACACACACACACACACACACACACACACACACATTCATATGCACGTATGTTCCCATGCATCTGGGAAGTCTTGTTTCACATACGAGAAGCGCTTGTGACTGACCCACACTGCTGCTGCTGTCAGCGGGCTCCACGGAGCCGGAACTCTCCTCCTCTGGCCGCGGCGCGTCTTCCTCGAACACCAGCTTGAACTCGAACTCGCCCTCCTCCCAGCCAGAGCCCGGCGCGGCCCCCATCGGCGACGAGAATTGCCCCCCCCCCTCAAAAAAAAGTTTTTTTTTTCTGAGGAGGAAGCGCGGGGGTTCTCTTCTTTAAGAGCGCGTCATAACGCAAACCACCTCCGCTCTTGAAAGAACTTTTCCACTCGTCCTCTTCAAACTTGATGCCTAGCTTATACTAAAGTTTTGTTTTTCTGTTCAAGTCAGTCTTTCATCCTCACGCTACACAGAGAAAGAGGAGGAGGAGGAGAAGAACGAGGAGGAGGGGGAAAAAGTTGAAATATTTTTGTCGTCCTTTACCCTTAATTGCCTCTGGGTGGGTTCTGAAGCTCCGTCGCTCGGTCCCCATAGGGTCACCCTGCCTGTCAATCATCGGAACCCCCCGCCCTCTTACCCCCACTTCCCTCACATCCTCCTCCTCTCATCAAGTTTGTCGTGTGAGCACCAGGGCCCTGAACGCATCACTCCCCCCCTTTTTTGGCTGTCGTTCTTCCTTCACCGCCCCGTCTCCCTCCTCCCTTCTTTTTTCTTCTCCCCCATTCCCACTTTATGAGCCCCCTACCTCCCTCCTCTCCTCTCTTCTCCATCAGAGATCTGTTTCTCATTATCCGCTGCAGTCTGTCTGAGTCAGGAGACGAAAAACTTAAATAAACACCCCTCTCTCCGGCTTAGACCAGCTCCCAGGCCCCTCACCACTCGGGAATCATCGGGAATCACGTAGAGCTGCTTGAGGGGTCTCACTTGCCGACACACCCGAAATGCGTCATGAATGTTCTTTCTAAGAACGTTGTTAAATTTTACTTTGGTATTCCATTGTTTGCTCTAATCAATTTCAGGACTCAGTAACAAAAAGACTCAAATGTTTCACAATTTTGTGTCGCTCATATCTGGTATTTGTGAATTTGGTGGCAATCAGACAAAATCTCTAAGGGCTGCTGAAAACTTCCAAAATGATTCAAAAACGCCTGCTTGAATTTTACCCTGAAAAAATGGCCGCCTCCATTCAAAATGGCAGCACTTCTGTGTCTTTTCAGGCATGCTTTATTGAGACTTTTTTTGTGGGTCTTTTCATGACAGAGATGCAAACAAGATTCTATGCTGCTACGTCAAACTGGCTTTTCAAAAAAAATTGCGATGGATGTTACACATCTAAAAACTAAAATGATCCTAAAATGGACATGTTTGAACCAAAGTGAAAATCTCAGCAAAATTTTGTTTTTTATGTCATGTGCTTTATGGCAAGTAATCAAACTTCGCTGACTTGGTCCATCCACACGCAATGATGAAAACACTGGAATTACAATGTGTTTATTTGTAATGATCTCGTATATGACGTACAACATTTTGGAGCAACTGTCAAAACCTCAAAAACAAGTGTGACTGAAGGTTCGGCAGAATGGCCAAAACGACCCTAAAATTGCTGCTTCAAACCAAAATGGGAGACTTCCTGTTTATTTTCCAGCATGGTTTCTTGAGGAAATTTTGTGGGTGTCCTCGTGGTAGACCCATCTACTAAATTCCTTTAAAACATTTGCAGAAAATGTGGTTGAGATTTGCAATTTGTTATGAAAGCCTGATGTGTTTTACATCAACATAGGGCATTCCCATTCTGCAAAAAAAAATGAAGAAATCACATTTTGTATCGGAATTAGATTAGGATTTTTGAATGTATTGGAAATGGGCCACTATTTTCTACAAAAATACTGAATTCTTGCTGCATTACCTTTCAGCAACAAAAGAGCCATCAGGTCTTGAAAGAAATCATAAATTCATCTGGTCATTTTCGCCGAACTGGTTACGTTTTCTTGAAAGTGCTACTTAAGAGTTCCGAAGCGTAAACATAATCAATTGATTAGTAGATGAGCACATGTGCATCCTTATTTGAGCTTCAGGGAGTACAACATGGAAAGTTTTCTGTTCCCGGGTGTGAAAATGACATTTTGCCGTGAAAGAAAGCAAAAATAATAAAGTGCCTAAAATTATCTGTTGTCAGATGATGAACAGTAAAAAACTGTCCTTGAGCTGACGGAGAAGAAGACGGCTTTTCAGATGTGGTGTGAGGTTTCATAATTCATGCCAAAGTGGGGATGTGCTGTTTGTCCCTCAAGGCTGATGCTTAATTTGGTTGTCATTAGAAAGTGTCGCCCCCAGGTGGTCAACCACAGGAACCTGCTCCCACTGTGATTGACAGGATTCATTGAAATAAATGTTTTAAGCTGCGCACCCCTTTCAGCAGGGACAGGGGATGTGCATTGGGAATTTCAGGAAAATGTATTACTTTTCCTGAATAGCCAGTGTATTTGCGGGCCTGGATCGTGGATGTCCAAATTCAGTCCTCGAGGGCCGCTATCTGCATATTTCATGTTTTCCTCAAAGACATCAAGATCACAAAAAGGCTTCTGCAGAGCTTGCTTATGAGATAGATAGATTGATAAATTGTTTGATTGATTTTTGTCGGGGTGTGTTGTCTTTATGAGAAATATTTTTAGCTAAAACATCTGGTCATCTTTTTTTCAAATATATTTTTGAGGGAAACGTTTTTTTTTTTTTTTTTAAGCCGGTTACATGGAAAAAATAATTTTAAAAAATTTTGGAAGTCATCTCCAAATTGTTTTTATGAAAATGGTATTCTTTTTTTTTTTTTTTTTTTTTTTAAAGAAAAAAGGTCAAAGATTAATTTTTGGGGAAAGTATTCATTACAAAAAATACGGTATGTTGAGATTTTTTGGGGAAAATGTTTTCAAAGTCAAATTTGTTTTCGCGAAAAACATTTTTACAGTGTTTTTAATGGGGGAAAAAAAGACTTCTTTTTTTAGAAAACAAATATTTAAAAGAAGTCTTTTTTTAGGAGAAAAAAAGTCACTTCATGAAAAAAAAGTCAGAATTCTCACTGGTTCATTTTTTCCTGCGTGTGAGCTCTCGTCTCTCACCAAACAAACAACATGTTCTCCTGAAGGTTGACCTGCTTTGCTCCATTTAAGTCGATCAATCACAATTTACCTTCATCATATTGTTTAACTGAAGTGCAATTGAGCATGGGCTTGTTCCTCACTATTTATACCTTCTTGTTGACAGAAGTCATCGCCACATGGCCCCGCCCCCTCGTCTCACTGACAGCTGTACGGTGACATCATGAACTCCACCGGCCAGTTGCTGATGGAAAGCCGGCATCACTGTGACGGGATGTTTACTTTGTGGAGCAAAAGGTCAAACTGCTGGTCGGAGAACATGACGACTGGAACAAACCAACCATTTGGAGGCTTCTGGAACACGTGGCAAGACAACACCTCACCAAAAAAACCCACCAAGTGTATCTTTCACACTGACACGTTCTCTGGGAGAAAAAAATACTCAAGCCGTTCTCCTTATTACTCATCGTAGTCTGTAACAATTTGTTGTTACGACTAAATAAATGGCTGTTTTATAGGAATTCCTACCAAATTCTCATGAGAGCAGCTCCCTGTTCAACTCAAAACAGTCTGTTACATTTTGTCGGAAATCCTACTGAATTCCCTTGAGAGCAGACCCTTTTCAACTCAAAAAAGGGCATCGCAGTCTGGAAGAAGTCCTCCTAAATTCTCATGTGAACAGACCACTATTCTACTTAGAATAGTGAATCTCATTACTCATGAGGACCCTTTTATTGGAAAAAAAGGGACGTTATATGTTAAATTCGAGGTTGTGGCTATGCATCACCGCACATTCTCCACATATTCAAGAGGGCACCTATACGCAGGTGTGCAAATTCCCCATTTACAGAGATTGGCACTTTATACTATTTTGCCGGTCTGTCCTCCGTCTGCGACCCTTGGGTACCCTTCCATCATCGTCCCAGTCGGCCCCCCCGCCCCCCACGAAAAAAGCCTCAAGGGGGTGTGGAGGGGCACAATTGATACAGATGTGACAGCACTTACTTTGCTCCATACATTCGCGTAGCGCTGTCGATCCTATCGAGAATGTCGACGGCGCAGCCATATTGAATGTGGCAAACTGAAGCAAATTGTGAATATGCTTCTCCTTGGAGATTCACCAACAAGCAAGAACTCACTGGATTAATACGGAATTATTGCTTCTGAATGTATGATTTTATCCTAGCTCAGTTTTATGATATTATTTGCCGATTTTATGGCTAATATTGCAGCCACATACAATATGGCGGATGGGCAGACATATCGACTCGGTTCAACAATTCTCTGCTACAGACATGAAAGGAAAATGATTAATGATTTTTCTATTTATTTTATATTCCCAAAGAGTTTATGGCTCGCATGGACTCTTTAGGGACGATTAAAGGGACGGACAAAAAACCCACTTCCGTCCTTGCTTAGTTTGTCCTTTTTAAAAAGAACTTCTCGTCCTCCCTCCCCAAAATGGGCGTCCATCCGAGACTAACGGACAGACCGTTCCTTCCCAGGAACGGAATGCCCATCTCTCCCCATTTAAATGGCAATATTTATGAGGTCATGCCTTTACGTGATCGAAATCCGTTATAAGCAGCAATTTTTTTTCAGCAGCCATATGTCGCACGTCCCATGAGGACGTGGCCTTTTCGACACAAAAAGGTGTTACGTTTTGTAGAAGATCTTAAATTCCAATGAAAACATGCCCTTTTTTTCTACTAAAGTCTCATAAAGACATGCCCTTTCCAACTCTCAAGGGTATTTTACCATTTGTTGGAAATCCTACCAAATTCCCGAGAACACGGCCTTCGCCCTTAAAACACAAATAATAAGGCGACAAAGTGTGTTTAATATGTTTTTCATTGAAATGCAAAAAAAGGTTACATTTTCTTACAACACTGACGCGGTGCGAACGCTGCAGAACACAAAATGGCAGAATACAAAAGTATTAATTAAAAATAAGTACAACAGCCATCCAAAACCAACAGAGCCCTTTACGACGTGTGACATATAGCATTGAAGTGTGTAAGATGATACTTTATGCCGTGCACATATACAGCGTGTGTATGCAAGTATGTGCACCCTGTACAATAGAAATCCAAAAACATCAAGTCGCTTGTTCATTTTAGGTGATGCGCTACTTCAAGTAAGACCAAAAAAAAATAAAGTTTAATTTTGAGCTGGTTATTGACGTTCAAAAGGCTAAAAAAATAACAACAATACACTCCTATGTTTACATGCACATCCTCTCCAGCTTATGTCAACGTGGATCAGCGGAATGACGTTTTTTTATGTGTGTTTGAACTTCATTAGCTTTAGCATGCTCCGGTTCACACTCTTTTGAGTCCTTCACAAAGCGCATGTGTAAACATAGCAAAACAACGCCCCCCGCCCACCCAGCAGATCTACCCCTCCCACACACAAAGAGGGAAACCTCATAACGGGAACATTTTAGTATGAATTTACTGGTAAATGTATTATAATAATATGATGGTGGTCTTAAATGTATCCACCTCCTACAAATTGTCCAAACTAATAATACATAGTTTATAAAGTTATCTCATCACATATGCAGACTTATATTTCCCCTCCTTGCCATGGTAACCTTCTGTGCTGACCAAAAAAAAAAAAAAGGAACAAAAAATATGTGAATTTTGAGCACTTTTGAGGTTTCTATCAATGAAAACACTTGTTTTCCTGTTTCGTGTTCTGTGGTTATCATTACCTTTCTTTTCTTTGTCATCACTGATATAACACACCTGTGAGGTCGGATTTGGGGATACTCAAAAATTCTGCTGTCAATGAAGATTAACCCCGCCCCCAAAAAAAAATTCCCGTTCTGTCATGGTCATCACATGCTTTCTCTTTGCTATCATTTATAACCGGCTGTAGTTGAAAAAGAAAAAAAGGCACTTATGTGGTTGTTGCTATGGATGTTAACTGGGCTAATATATCATTATTTTCCCCCAGAAACTTAGTTGGGACTGTTTCGTTATCGAGGTTATGATTGCGTATTTCTTTACCATTTGGTAGTAAGAAAATAAACACACACACACATCGGAGGAAAAAAAAGAATCCCACTTCTAGAGTCGGTCTTTTTGGTTGTGTGAGTTTCATTAGATTTGCTGACTGCATTTTGAGGTATAGTTTTCATTTTTCTTTAATTATTTCAAATTTAATTTCAGCTCCAAATTGTATACATTGAAAAAAAAAGACTAATACTACCGCAATTTGTGAAACGTTTCCTCATTTATGTCTACATAGCTGTATGATACTGCCCTCTGATGGCCAGGGCGCAAACACTAGAAGGAGCACAAAGTGGGTCTGGAACGAATTATTAGCATTTCCATTCATTTTGATGGGGAACGATGATTTGCAATATGAGCGTTTCAAGAAACAAATTAAACTTGTAAACTTTGTATTTGAACTCAGAATTTTGGACTGTTGCAACTTGCGGGTTCCCATGCGCAAACACTTTTGAAGCTAATTCGGAGTCAAGTTTCGAATCTCGAGCCGCAGTCTCAAGCGCTGACAAACACCAAGCGGGCGGAGTAGATGAGGTCGGCCAGGTAGAGCACCAAATTGACGGCGGTGAGCACGGCCACCGCCATCAGCTTGTCCCATGTGCACAGCCCCTGCGTGGAGCCGCAGCTGGACGGACGCTGCTTGTTGCCGCCGTGCTTGGGGTCGAAGTTGAAGATGGGCCAGACGATGGTGGCCGACAGGTAGAGGATCACGGCTAGCAGGGCGTACCCGGACAAGAAGCGGGCGAAGGGGAACGGCAGGCAGCCGGTGCACTCGCCCACGCACAGAAGGATGATGGCGGCGGACAAGATGAAGCAGATGCAGTAGACGGACATGCAGTACTTGAGCGCGTCATGGCGGTCGTACAGCACCGGGTCGCTGATGAACACGAAGATGATGCAAGCCACGAAGGTCTCGCACACCTTCAGCAGACCCGGGGCGGTGGCCATGTAGCCCGCCACTTCGCCCGGCCTGGCCTTGCTGATGCTCACCTCGGTCATGTAGGCGATAGTGGCCAAGCAGGAGAAGACGGTGGACACGATGCGGTAGTCACGCACCTCGCTGGGTCCCATGGAGCCTTTCAGGTAGTACAGCGGGAAGATGATGGACGCCGACAGGCACAGCAGAGCGGCGTAGCAGGCGAACGTGATGGGGAAGTTCTTCCAGGAGACGGGCGCTCGGGTCTGCAGGCCAAACAGCTCCACCAGGAGCACCAGCAGAGTGCCGGCGAAGCTGAAGGCCCAGCAGAAGATGCACCAGTCGCCCGTGCCGTGGTACAGACGCCCACCGTGGACCGCTACCGAGAAGGCCACGCATGAGAAGATCAGCGCCGCCAGACGCGTCCACAAGAGGGGGGTAGAGTGCAGAACGATTGCCATGTCGACGCTTGGTTGCCTCGTTCAGGGAAGGTAAGCAGATGCTCGGGTAGACAAATCTGGAGAAAGAACACAAGAAGGATTCATGAGGGTTTAAGCATACAATAATTCCCCGCTAGGGAAAAATAGCAGAACTCTGCACACAGTTGACAACCCCCTAAAAATGTTGAGAAATATTCATTACGTCTGTATTACATATTAATACAGACGTGTCTTGACTTAATTGATTCCATGACCACACCTGTAACTCAAAATGCCATTAGTCCATTCCAGCGCCGCAAAAAAAAGGTCATATTTTAATAAGAAATATATAAATATAATAAATATATATCATTAAAAAACATTTTTTCAGATAAAAATTAAAAAGTCGCATTTAAGTTGAAAAAATGAAAAGTGAATAACTGTTCGTGTGCTTGAAGCAGAAATGTTAAAATTTTCTTTTCGGTGAAAGCAGGCTGGTCAACTTTTCATAAGATGCAAAGAAAGGTGTATGACTCATAACCAGCAGATGAGCTCTGGAGGCTTGTTACAACAAACCCAAAAAGGACTATATTAAAAATAAATTTGCGCTGTGCGGCTTGCTCATAAAACTGCATTGGGTGTAGCGGCTATAAATCAAATGCATCTCAGTGACTGCAAAAAGCCAGCGGTGAGAAGTAGCAAAGTACAAAGACTTTGTGTTGTAACTCAACTGAAGTAGAATTTTTTCAGGTACTTTACTTGAGTAATAAATCCATATTTTCTTCTTCTCGCTTTGTCAAAATATGAATAAAATTGTGAAATGATTAGAAATGCCATGTATGTAATCCATTCTAGCCTACCAAAAGAAAAAAAAAAAAAATTTTCTTGCCACTACTGTAATGGTAAAAAGGATGAAATAGCGCATCTGAGCCACATGAGGGCGACGGTTTGCAAGCTTGACATAAACACCCCCCCCCCCCCCCCCCAAAAAAAACACACAGAAAAAAAACGCACACACAAGGGTGTTATTGTGTCTCCAGCACAAATAATGACTCCTCTGTGGTGGACGCATTTCCATCTGCTTGAATAATCTGCTGAGAACTGGCTTTCCCTTCTCTCGCTCCTTTCCAGCCTGACTTTTACAGCTGTAGTCTGCAAGTCATTCCTGCTGCTCGGAGACTTGGCCTGTCTCACTCCAACATTCCATCCATGTTGGAGTCCTCACAGGCGAGGCGTGGCGTGGGGCGGCACCCTCCGCTGACCCCTGTCATCAGTAAGGGCCGACTTCTTTTTTTTTTTTTTTTGGAATCCCACTCTACTTGCTTGATGCATTCAATTCACTGCTCAGATTTATCGACAGGAACACTGTAGGGGGGAGTTTTGGATTTTGAGGCTTTCAAGTTTCCACCTTCACTCAACGCTAGCGCCCAACTGGCTCCCCGCGAGACATAACACGCTTGTACGGGGGGTGAGAAAAGAGGCATGCGACTAATGGAAGCCCGTAGTAACATACAGTACAGTGACCACGTTTACAGTACATGGCAGCTGGTGGATTTCTAAGGTTCCCCACTTGGCTTGCCATCAACAAAATGGAATTTCTTCCATGTGGATCTTTGTGCTCCCTTCATGGTCATGCCACTTACGGCATGACAAAAAGATATATGTGTTTAGGCATCGGTCTTTTTTTTTTCCTCATATCCCCCACTTGGCAAAAAATACAATTCCTCCAGTTTGGAATCTAATCCGGCGCTCAGTTTGTATTTTTATGCTATTCAAAACACTTTACTGTAATGTGTTTATGTTGGTTAGTTCCAACATGTTCCACTTCTCTTGCCTGAAAGTACAATTCCTCCATTTTAGATCAAACTAAGTTCTGCGCGCTAAATATGATTTACTTATTAAAATATTAGTGCCATTTAAAACAGTAAAAACGTTATTTCTGTTGAGGTATCTAGTATTGTCCTTTTCCCCACTTAGCTCACCAATTTGGATCAAACTGTGTTCTGTGCAGGCAGGATGGTCGACTAGTGGTTAACCGATCTGCCTCACAGTCAAGAGGTCACAAGTTCATTTCTCAGCTCAAGTGTCGCAGGTCGTGCTGGAGCCCATCCCAACTGTCTTTGGGCAGTAGGCGGGGTACACCCTGAACCGGTTGCCAGCCAATCGCAGGGCACACATTGATGAACAACCATTCACGTTCCCAATCACACGTTGGGACAATTTAGAGTGTTCAATCAGCCTGCCACGCATGTTTTTGGAATGTGGGAGGAGTACCCGGAGAAAACCCACGCAGGCACGGGGGAAAACAAACTCCACACAGGAAGGCGGCAACCGGAATCAAACCCTCCACCTCTGCGCTGTGAGGCGAACGTGCTAACCAGTCGAACACCGCGCCGCCCACGCTGGTAGTAAAAAGTCGAGAATGGCAGATGCCTGCCACGCCCGAACTCTTTGGGAGAGCCTCCTCTTCCCGCTACTCCACCCGACAATGTCATAAATAAGACAGCGGCCAGCTGCGAGCTTGCCTTTAGATTTATAGTCGATGCGATCCACTTATAAAAATTTTACTTGCCCTAAGCGATGTCATCCTTTCCAAGACCGCCCGATGTATTTATTGCGGAGGAGCCATGTTTATGTTACCATAGCAGACGCACATTCGAATGCTTTTAATGGGGTGTCGCCTTGTGGCATGTAATCCGTTCTTTCTTTGATGTTTCGGCTGTCTCAGTATTTCCACGCAATTTCACGGGATTTTCTTTGTCCCTGTTGACATGGAAATGGGGGGACAAAAGTGAGAATTTTTTACATGCTAAGCAAGGTTCGCTGGACCTTATTTGTCCATTTATCTCCATTATGATCAATGTTAGCAAACACCTGATTGTCGGATGTCTCTAAAAAGATTGTTTTTGGACAACGGCTTGATTTATCAGGATCATAAAGCCTCATTTTATATGCTTATTAATTTTTTTTTTTTGATCATTCAGATTTGACAGGGTTGTTCACAGCACTCTTCTGTGCAGTGTGTTAAATTTAGAAGATATCTTTTTTCACTTTACGAGGACTTTAAAAAGCGATATGCGCGTAGCGTCGTTTAACAGTTATGACTGTCGGCCTGAGCGTTTTCCAAAATGATTAAGAGGAAAAATCCCTTTTAACACACCGCACACCGCAGAATAATCGCTCAGAATAATCTTTTAGAAACATCCGACAATCGGGTCTTCACTGACTTTGATGGCAAACGGAGGAATTGTCAAATTCACCCTGCTTACCAGCATCTGTGCACGTGGCTCTGCTGAACTCCGTGCTGATCACAAACACGCAAAGGAATTTGCGATTGTAAATATTGAACAGGTTTAACAATTACGATCGTCCGCCCAACTCTTTTCCAAGCAGATTGGAAAGGAAACAATTACTCTGAACACATCCCACACCGCATGATACCCGCACAGGATGATCATCGAATAATCGGGCCTCTATTGGATTTAATTGTTAAGCGTGTCATAAAATGCTTACATTTGGTCTATCGTTACGCCTGTATCCCACTTATTTGGTTCCGTTTCACATCAATTGGTGTCCATGACTCGGCCCATCTTGGTTCTGACCACACCCATATTACAAGTGTCAAACCAGTTTCACATTTATGATTATCGAATATTTTCCAAACAATTCAGGGAGGGAAAATTATTCTGAACACACCCCACACTGCAGGATAATCTGTCATGATAAACAGTCAGAGAATTTAATGTGATTATTGGTATGGGTCTATCATAATTAAATGGGTTTTAGTTCGTTTCACGTCACAATCAGGAATGGCTCAATCCCACTCTGTTTTGATCACACACACGATATGATTTACGATCGTAAAAGTTGAACAGGTTTAACATGTACGATTGTTTCTGATAAGAACTTCGAGATATCTGACAATTGGGCCTTTGATCGGAAGGGAAGGAAAATGTTAATTCAGCCCGATAATTGGTATTTGTGTATCCAGATTTACTCATTTGACTTTGATTCACTAATTTCGTGTGGAAAAATTGGAGCGCTTACTATTTAGGGGCGATCCCATTATTTTTAGTTTGACGCAGAATTGACGTATGACCCCGTGTTTATGGTTCTTCCTCAGTGAACACATTAGCATTCTTAGCTAGCAGCCTACTGGAAAAGGCAAGATTTTTAAGAGGAATAAAAAGACAGTAGAATGCAGAATGTAACAGCACATGTCCTCCTCCCCTCCCAGCCCACAGACATCCATCACCCGTTTGGCTTGATGCCTCATTAGCCTCATACCCCAAGAGATGCTTATAAACAGACGGAATGGGCCTTGTTTACATTAGACGCCATTAGCGACAGAAGACATATGAAGGCAAAGGAGCTGAAGAAAGGAGGGTGGCGTTAGGGAGATGGTCAGGATTGAAAGGGAGGAACCCGGGGAAGCCCTGAGCTCAGGCCACATCACCCACACACCCACACACACACACACACACACACACACACACACACACACACTCAAAGGCCGGTGATGGAGTGGAATAGCAGAGCAGTGAGTCACTGTGGGGCCCCCTTCCCCTTTCACCGCCCACATTATTCCATGTGTAAAAACTAAAAAAATAAAAAAATAAATTCCAACTTACTGATGTGTTCCAGATGGCCGTCTGGCTCACCAACTTTTTTTTTTCCTCACTTTCTCCAATTTCTTTCCCTTGCCTTGGTGGTGTCCCTTCCCTCCCCTCCCTTTTCCCATCCGATCCAGCTTAAGGAGCAATTACACGTCATGTAGAGGGGCTTCCAAATATCTTGTAGAGTTGAGACAGGGAAAAAAAGGCGGCTTTTCCACTGTACTGCATGGAAAACATAAGAGGAAAACACGTACACACAGTGGTGGTGGTAAGGTTGTGTGTGTGTGTGTGCGGGGGGTTGGCGGGGGGGGTACTTCCCCAAAATGGACAAGGTCTGAAAATAGTGCTTGCAGGTCTCGAGTTGAGGACGGCAAAACAGGACGTGACCCGCCCCCGGCACTCCTGACCGACGCCGTCATGAGTTCAGTTGCCATGGTGAGATGCAGCTAACCTGATTTCATCCCTTAATTCGCTTACACGCCAACACCAAGATGAGGTCGAAGCTGAATGTGCATTTGGGAGACATGAAATAAATCCTTCAGAGGGACAAAGTCCACTTTGTTTTTTTTCTTTTTTAGAGGAAAATTGATGGTGAGACTTAAAAAAACCTTCTAAAAGTCTTTTTAAAAAGGGTGAACAACAAGGGAAACGGCTTGTTTCGCTGTTGTATGCTACAGTTTTGACTTCAGTTAGGATTTGGGTGAGGGATAGAATGAGGGTTAGTGTGTTGAGTTACGTACAAGTTTTGTGTTTCGTGACCCTAATGTATCTCAAATCATCTTATGCCATAGAAATGAATGGCTATGCAAATAATCCGTTCCAAAACCTCTAAGAAACACCAAATGTTCTGTATTTTCTTACGTTTTTCATGAAAATATAAAATAAAAATTACGCTCGACAGTATTGAACCATATAAAACTCAAAGCAATGCGGCACTCCTGACCGACGCCGTCATGAGTTCAGTTGCCATGGTGAGATGCAGCTAACCTGATTTCATCCCTTAAATTCGCTTACACGCCAACACCAAGATGAGGTCGAAGCTGAATGTGCATTTGGGAGACATGAAATAAATCCTTCAGAGGGACAAAGTCCACTTTGTTTTTTTTCTTTTTTAGAGGAAAATTGATGGTGAGACTTAAAAAAACCTTCTAAAAGTCTTTTTAAAAAGGGTGAACAACAAGGGAAACGGCTTGTTTCGCTGTTGTATGCTACAGTTTTGACTTCAGTTAGGATTTGGGTGAGGGATAGAATGAGGGTTAGTGTGTTGAGTTACGTACAAGTTTTGTGTTTCGTGACCCTAATGTATCTCAAATCATCTTATGCCATAGAAATGAATGGCTATGCAAATAATCCGTTCCAAAACCTCTAAGAAACACCAAATGTTCTGTATTTTCTTACGTTTTTCATGAAAATATAAAATAAAAATTACGCTCGACAGTATTGAACCATATAAAACTCAAAGCAATGACATTCGCACTCCACGTGACCTGCAAACACGGAAAATGCAAGCCTGTAACACAACTGTCCCTAATGTTTTGTCCTTCCTTGTGCATCATCTGGGGGATTTATTGACAAGTGGCAAACTAGCAAAATAGTACATGACCACGCCCAACTGATGGGGGTATGAATGGATCTTGTATGCTGTGAAGTTTGCTGCTGCCGTCTAACTGTGGGGTTCTGAAATGCACGTGCATCCCAAAATTATTGCTCTTATCTCAAGTCAAAAATAGGCCACGCAACGGCTCATATCTTAAAAACTTGACTTATACGTCACATTTTTAATTGAAATTAATTTCCCGAGTATCAGAACTATTTTTATTCTGAGAGATGTTCTATTCCTTAAGATAGTGCAAGACATTTATAATAGTTTTGAATTTGTCATGATAGTTAGTTTTTGTATTAGTTTCTACTTTGTGGAGTGCAAGATTAAAAAAGGGTAGGCACGAAGTATTGTGTCATAAAGTAAACTAAACTCCAAAGTGACTTTAATCTTCTTTATTCTGCGCGGCCTTACCGTAATACCTAAATAAATCAATTTCAAATCAACCCCGAAAGCGAATGTATGAAATTAAGAGACAATGATGAAAGGATGAGACATTTTCACTTGACAGTAATCATACTAATCTTAGTCTTATAAGCGTGCGATGTAGTTTCACTCATTGTTTTTTTTTCCAGCACTCTCATTTTTATTTTATTTAGTTAATGAAAATACTTTTTGAATTGTAATCTGAGCTATTTCATCAATTCTCCGTCACTATAATAACATGGTGAGGAGGGCCGTGAGGGGAGAGGCATTAGTATTAGGTGAGTAAGGGGTAGTGAGGTGGTCAGGGTTAGGAAGGGAGGAATGAGGAGGTGGAAAGGGGGTTCAGATTAGTGCTGGTGGGGAAGGTAATGTTTAGGTTTAGGATTACATTTAGGTTTCTTTGGCTAACCTAACTGGCTTGTTATTGTTTTCCAACCAAATATTCTTATTTATAAAGCCTGGTTTGGGTTAGCTGTGCTTCGGGGGACCTTTCGAAGGTTCATTCATTAAGACCAGTGCAGGGAAGGTGGGTGTGCCGCCTGCCGCGCCCTTCAGCCACCAAACACACACACACACACACACACACACACACACACACACACACACACACACACACACACACACACACACACACACACCTCCCTGTCCATTTTAGTGACAAAACACAAGCGTAAATATGCACAGGAGGCCATCTTTGATTCTATTTTTCTCGAACATGACTGCACAAAAGCAAAGAAGAAAAAACAAAATGTAGCACATTTCCTCTCCAATGATTCCTAGCGCATTTGAACCACAATCGCACATGTAAACAAGCACCCAAAACCCCTTTTCATATTTTCCTCCGACATTACCACATGTTAAATACATTTTCTTAATGACAAAAAACACACACAAAAAGCAGCCCTGACTTGGGTTTTTTTTTTTTGTTTGTTTTTTTGTTAACTTTCAGCCTCTCAGTCTAAACACGTGTTCCTTTAAAGAGAAAAAGTACATATTTGTACAAGATGCAACAAGTTCTTTACCTCGTGTGCTCGGTTGCAGCGTCTCACACAAACATCCAGCTGTGGAGAGTCTCTCACACACACAGAAGGGGAGCGAAAGAAAGCGAGCAGAGCAGACTCCCACTTGACTTCCTTGCCAGCTCCCTCCCCGCCCCGACCTCCAAATTAGGCATCGAATGTCCTCGTACCGTTAGTCACATCTGTACATGCCACACCTCCAAACTTCCCAACCTACTCCTACTCCTCCTCATCAACATCCTCCTCCTCCTCTTCCTCTCTCGTCACTACGGAGACGGTGACACACACACACACAATGTGGTGCAAAGGTTCACCACGTGTAATGCTTTTAGAATAGTACTGGCTCTTATTTTTCTTGTAAATCCGTGATGACAAAACACACTCATGGGCCACTTCATTAGTACTCCTACATCATCTATTCATTGTACTGGACCATTTTAAGGGACGAAAAAATGAATGCAATAGATTAGTTACAGGAATTTTCATCACTTGCCCATTATTTTTATTCTTTTTAATGTACAAAAAAAAACAATTTACATAACCAATTGTAATTATCACACACAATAATATTTAAAGTATTGTTTCAAATTTCAAAATTCATTCATCCATTAACCCATGGCTAAAAAGTGTTGGGAAATTTTGCTGAAATGCATACCAACTTTTAACAATAAAAAAAATTCTGGCTACAATTGCGGACACACAACTGGGCACCAAGACATTCCAAAATTCGCAGTACATGTACAGTGGATGCCTGCTGTTCACGGCTGATAGAGACTGTGCCAGCCCGCGAAGAGCAAAAATCAACTTATTATTGACACTCATTAATGAAAAAAAAATTTTTTTGTTTGCTGTTTGTTTGTGCGACAAAAAATTATTTACTAAGTGGGGATATACTGCCAGTAGGCGTTCTCCACAAAATGGGGGTTGGCTCACCAACATTTTTTAAAATATTTACTAATATTTTAAAAGCTATTGAAAAAAAAAATCCACCAAGTTTGCAGTGGTCCACTGTATTGTGTTTTACAATCATACTTAACTGTATTTATAATTCCATATGGACCTATGGCTGATTGTTCAGTTCAGTCACATGCAGTTCCTTCATTTGTTGCTTCCTTTCCCATAACAGTAAGTTAGGTCCAATTCCTGCTCTGTGGTTATCATCACACTTTCCTCTTTACCATCACAGGTCCATTTGAACTCTGGAAAATCCAATGGCTTTTCCTGTACACTATGAGCAGCAGGGTTCTCATGCGTAAGATTCCAAGTAATATTGCAGAAAAAGCAGAAGTTGACCAAAAAAGTTGCATTAAGTGAGTTTCCTGTACTGGGAAAGTGTTGTAACATGATTCTCCAGCACCGCAGCGATAACTTACTTGGCATGGCGTTCATTGCAACACCCTGACTCATCTGAATGGCCCACTGATTGTTTACGATGTTGCCTAGCAATCGCTCAATGTCATCTCAAACAATGTTTTTTTTATTTAGGGACAGATGGCATTGTTATTAAAAACAAGGGTAACGATTTAGAGAAGGAAGATAATAGTATGTCTTGCACATTCCTCCAGAATAGATTCAATTGGCTTCAATTGAGTTATGCTGTTGTTTAATTTGTCAGTGGTTCTATTCTTCCTATCAACAACAACTAGATTCTTGCAAGAATATCTGAAAATACTCAAATATTAAGTATTTCTTTTCCAGCACAGGTGGGATGACTTATCTCTCTAAATGACGTCTGAATATATTTTGGTTTAGAATTATTTATTAATATTTATCATTTGTGTAAAGTTGTGTAAAGTTTACACAAATACAATCTCAGGAACAAAGCTTTAAAATGAATAGTCAGAAATTCAAAGTAATTAATATGACATACGCACCATTGTATGTCAGTGACCGTTTTGGTCATTTTGAGAGCTGGTGTGCCGTTAAATTAAATTGGAACATATTAATTATTTATTTTGAATTTGTGACTATTCATTTTTAAAGGTTTATTCCTGAAATTCTATTTACAGCAAAATGTATTATTTCATTTTAGTTCATGTGACTATTTTGTGTTGTATTGTATTCATGTTTATTTTCAATGTATTTTTATTGTATTTGGACTTTGTTTTTATTTTACTGCTTTATTGTTTTGTATTGATTTGATGATTTAATTTTATTTTATTTATTCCATGAGTGTGTGCGTGCGCGTGTGCGCGCGTGTTTGTGCGCGCGTGTGCGTGCGTACGTGTGCGTGCGTGTGTGTGTGTGTGTGTGTGCGTGTGTGTGTGTGTGTGTGTGTGTGTGTGTGTGTATGCGCGCACGCGCCTTTGTATGTCAGTGTACTGTATTTTTTTTTTATTTGGTTGTATTGTATCTTTTTTAAATATTCAATTTTATTTTATATCGATTGTATTTCGTTTTTATTTTTTTATTTTATTTTCATATATTTTATTTTTGTATTGTATTTCATGTTAGTTTTATTGTTTTTAATTACTTTTGTTTTAGTTGTTTTTAGTTTATGGTATTAGTTTTTTATTCTGTTGCAATGTATTTCCATTGTATTTTATCTTTTTTATTTTAGTTGAGTTTAATTTAGTTGCCCTCGACTTGTTTGTGGAAGGACCATTGCGGATACGTCATACCGAGCGACACTTGTGACTGTGTGACGTCGTTTTTGTGCGACAGGTCGTGGAGAAGAGTCCGTCATGGCGTCGGGACCTGCGGAGTTACAAAGCGGCGACGACGCTGAACTGGACGAATTACTGGACAGTAAGGTTATAATTAAAATGCCAACTGTTAAATTAAACACACACTGGCATTTTAGGGCTTAGTCCTTTTATTGTATGTGGGAAATGACGTTAGGTTCGTCGGATGCTGTTGTGGTTCTCGGTGAAGTTGCTGTCAAACTAAAGTGAAGCCCTCCCTTGTAGTAAATAACTTAATTAACGTTACAATTAAAATTGTAGCCGTGTGCTATGTAAGGGGTTTCCCAGGAAGGTATTGCCCAGCATGCTACTATATCACTGGTCTTTGTTACACCTTGTTTGTGTTTACAGGACAATGATATTAAGCTTTCAAGTGTTTGTTTTTTAGGTGCACTGGATGACTTTGACAAGCAGTCTGCGCCTCCTGAACCTGAAACACCTTCTTCCTCGTCCAGCAATGGACCAGAAATGGTTGGTGTCATAAGTTTGTGCTTTTTTTTTTTTTTTTTAGACAAAAGCACATAGAAAAATAAATGCATATATTTTTCTCGTACGCTTTCACACAGCAGCAGCAGCCGCCGCTGCTGGAGGACTGCAAGCTCTTTGAGACACTCTTCGAGGGTGACATGGCAGCACAGGCCCAGCAGGAGTGGAAGAAAGCCATGACGGAGCTGGCTCAGGAGGAGCCGGACCTGCTCGAGCATTTTCAGAAACTCTCTGAGGCTGCCTGCAAAGTTGGCAAGTTTTGGTGTTTTCTTTGATTCTTTTTGCCCGATTGTTGTTTTGGTCTCTTCCTGGTTAAACAATGTGTTTATCCTACGCAGGGACTGACACGGCTTCTCAGCAAGAATTTACCTCCTGCCTCAAAGATACCCTCCGTGGCCTCGCCAAGAATGCCGATAACTTGCAGGTAGACTTTTTACTTTATTTTACTTTTGACTGAACGTTATGATGCACTGTTCCCTGTTCTGTGTAATGTACAGAGAACCGTCACATTTAGCGGGAGGTAGGGACCAAACAAACAATGAATTGTGAATATTAACCTACATAGCAGAATGAGTTAATTGTCGAAGTGTGACAAGATATGAACTGGTTACACCGTACCCAAGTTACACCTGTTTGTGTTCCCGCAGTCTTCTGGCCTCGCCGGAGACGATCTCGTAAAGGCCCTGGAAGGCTTGGGATTGGACGAGGGCGGTGAAGGCGAGGGTGACGACGCCAACGTCCTTCCCATCATGCAATCCATAATGCAGAATCTTCTCTCCAAGGAGGTTCTCTACCCTTCCCTCAAGGAAATCACCACAAAGGTTTGTCAGCAGGTTCAACCCTGCGTGGCGGCGGCCATTCATACACTGCTATGACAAACCCGCTCGTCCTCAGTATCCGGAGTGGTTGGAGGCCAACAGGTCCAGCCTGAGCCCAGAAGACGTCCAACGCTACGAGCAGCAGGCCAAGGTCATGGGAGAAATCTGCCAGCGCTTTGAGAAAGAGGAAGACGGCGACAAGGTCTTTGAAGGCATCATGGACCTCATGCAGAAGGTAAGAGGACTCGCCTTGAAGAGATCCTCTGAGTTCTTCATAACATCTTCCTCATATCACCTTGTTTTACCACACAGCTGCAGGACCTTGGACAGCCACCAAAGGAGCTTGCAGGAGACGCTGTAAGTTGATGGTCACTGGGCATGTTGGTTACTTTCCGGGAAATCATATTTTTGACAATTCTTTATTTTTAACTCATCTGTTTGGAGAAAGTCATTCATTTTGGAAGAAATCTATTTTGAAAGTCATTTTGTTAGGGAAACAAGTTGGGTTTTTTTTTTTTGGTTTTTTTTAACCTAAAACCATTTTTCAAACTCCCTTTTTCTGGAAAAAAAACATTTTTCAGGGGGGAAGAATTCGTTGAAAGGTGACTTTTTAAGATATGTCATTTCTTTCTTTCTTTCTTTTTTTTTTTTTTTTTAGGAAAAAGTCATCTTTTTTTACAAAAAAAGTTTTGTTAAAAAAAGTATGTTTTTTTTTTTTTTTAAGGAAATTTTAAAGTTTTGGAAATGTCTGTTAATTTATCTATAAAAATATCTATTTTTCCCCCCAGAAATTCACTTTTATTGAGTGAAGTGTATTTTTTAAAGGATTTTTTTTTTTTTTTTTTTAATAAACTATGGTTGTTTTTAGGGGGAGGGAGTTAGGAAAAAGTATAGACTGCTTTTAGACTGAATCAATTGAGCAATACTGTGTTCTTCTCCACTCACCAGCCTCCAGGCTTCAACTTCGACATGGACTCCCTCAACCTCCCAGGGGGCGCTGGGTCGGCTGAACAATGCTCCATCATGTGAGGAGGCGGCGGCTTGACCTCAGCTGCGGAAAGGGCCACACCCACCAGGAGTTGGCCGGTGGCATTGTGATGTTCATGTCGCACACGCTCGGCCTCGGATTCCAAACATACAGTACAGAGAAATGTGGACGAGGTTACAAAATTCCAACACACGCTCGAACATTTGAACATCTCTGCATTAGTTTTTTTCATCCAGCTCCTTGATTTTAACTGTATTCCCTCCTCCGGAATGAAGATACCGCACCCTCTCTGGTGTGTCTTTAACCCTCCTATTATGTTGCAGGTCAAATTGACAATAATTATCGTAAAGTGCCATAGGGAAAAAAGAGTCCTTTTAAATATTGTTTATATATCATATTGAACCCCATTCCGAACCATTTTAGTCAATATTTCGTGAATTTCTTAGATCGCGTTTGATTGATCATTCATTCCTATGTTCATGTTGAAACCTTTTCATGAAGCACAAACATATTTGTTGTATGGGTTGATTATACATGAACCAGCCTTTCGGACCCAAAAATTACTTTTATTTTTCTAAAATTGTAATTATTGTAATTTTACGCCTACTGTTAAATGAAAGAAAAAATGTAAAAATGTATTAGTCAGTTTGACCTACAGCCTAATAGAAGAGTGAAACAAATAAATAAATAAAACGGGGACAAATATTAGGTACAGTTCAATTTTCCCAGTTGGATTTTACTTGCCGTGTCATCAGTTTGTGAAACTAACTGAAAGAAAAGGGGATTTACTGGTCAAAAAGAAAAAATGCTAATTTAGTGTTTTGGTGTCAGTTTGACCCACAGTGTAACGGAATTGAACTAACTCAAATGAAAAACTCAACTTTATATCAGGATAACACATTTAAAAACTGTAATCTAGATTTTTTTTTCTGGATAATTTGAGCCACTGTATAACAGACTAACCAAAAGCAAAAAGGCATGAAACTTCTGGTTTTTACAGCTCATTTTGACCTGCAGTATAACTGGAGGCTGAAACTCACTCAAAAGAAGAGGATCAAAAATGGTGCAATTTAGAAAACAAATTCAGATATTTACGGGGTCACTTTGACCGGCAATATGACAGGACAGTTAAAATGGGTTAGTTTGAACCCTCTACACAAACAGGAAATTTCACTGATGTGAGTGAGTGGTCTGTTCGTGTCTTATTATTATGTGTATAACAAACTTACCATTAAAAAAAAGATAATTGTTTCCTACAGTCATCCCGGTATTGATCTGAAGTGAGTGATTTGATGGTGATTATAGTTTGAGGTTTCCTTGCTGAAGTGCTTCCCCTTGAGGATTTGTGTGTTTCTATTGTGAAGATTGATGTTTGCGTGAGTGGGGAGGGCTTCCAAGCTCTCCCTTTAAAATGTGCATTAACAAAAGGTCGGAGCACTTTGTGTGTGAAACAAAGTTGTTTCACTGTTGGCAACTATGGAGACGGATCTAGAAAGCACAGGGCAAAGTGCTGCTGTATAATAAAGAGGCGGTGACCAATGCAAAGAGAAGTTTGTGTCAATTAAATTGCTTTCATCATGCCATCATTTCAGGGTCAAATGACGTAGCTCGCTAAGAGCTGATGCATGGGATTTTTTTTTTGCCCTCTTTTTGTAAATACGGTATATTTAATAAAAGAATGATATCAAGAAGGTGAACTTGGGTTATGTGTATTCGTCCTTTTTTAGAGATGGCTATTATGTCACTGAAATAGTGTAGCATTTTTTGCTACACAAATGTTTGCGGTCAATGTAGTGCACTGAATTTTGAAACAAAAAAGTCGACGTTTAGTGCCGCTACTACAATCACTTATAATTATATTAATTATTAAGTTTGACATACTTCGACCGATTATTGTAATACTGTATACTGTAATTTCAAATGATACAGTACTGAAAATACGGTAACGCCCCAGTATGTTGAAGATGACGGAGTCGCTGACTGATGCTCTCCAGCTTTATTCCCTGAATTGGTAACAGAATGCACATTCATGATTTCTCATCAAATTTTGGAAACGGATCAGTATCAACAGGCACCACTTAATTATTTATGTAAAGCGCTTTATTTACAACTGCAGCTGTTGTGAAAGCGCTGTATAGATAAAAGATGTATTGTACTGTACACTATTCATTCAAGAAACTGATCTGAAAATGAGTAAATCGCTGGACGAGTTTAAAAACAAATTTAAAAGATTAGTACAAACAAACTACAAAAATCAAAGTTAAGAAGATAAATTCGATATACTTATAAAATATAGTAATATAACGGTCTGTTCTTGTTTTGGATTTTGATCAACTCATTAAATGTATTCAAGAAATGCAGTATTTATAATGAATATGAGACAATTGATATAAAAAGAAGAATGAATAATTATATACATGTATATATGTAGGTGTGTGTATATGTACATGTGTGTGTGTGTGTATATATATATATATGTGTATGTATATACAAACAGAAGGGTGTATAAATAGATAAGTACAGTACACATAAGGGTAAAATTACTTGATGAGAGGTAGATCTCTTCCTTTTCTTTTGCATTGAAAAATGATCTATTTATATTATTACACAACAAGGGGTAGGACTAGATAAGTTGTATACTTCTTCCTACTCCTTTGAACATATAACGGTGATGATGTTTGTTTTATTTACTTTTTATTTTTATTCTTATTTTTCCTTTTGTAATTTTGTTTGCCTTTTGTCAATTGTTGTTGTATTTTATGTTCAATAAACAATTAACTAACAAAAAAAAAAGAGCTGCTATCGGCCACAACTCACGCCCAGGCATTCCACCCAAGCCGGATCTATGTGTTGTGTTTCTATGTTCGGACCGCCGTGGAGCTTTTTGCGTCATCTGCGCAATTTGGATAATCACAACTTTATTGTTCAAACCCGGAAGACAAAACAGGAGACGTGTCAGGAAAAAGAAGAGAGAACCATCTTAAATGGGCGATCGCCGTCAAGCATAGATTATCCGATATATTACAATTGCACGTTTTGCGTACAGATAAGGTGGTCGTTTACTATAAATTTATAGTTAAAGAACGACAAACCCTGGTTCTTGATCATGTTGAACAAATTTGAAACCAAGTCGGCCCGTGTTAAAGGTAAGCGTTGGGCAGTTGCACCTAGCTTTTAGAGGCTAATGTTAGCGAGCTATCCGGTAAATACTGTAAAGGTACTCTATTTTGTCTGTGGGTTTTATCAGTGCAGTCTTCTATGGATCTATGCAAGAATTAAAGATTTTTGAAGCGGTTTCAAGTCTGCGAATCTTCCTGTCGTGATGCCTAAAAGCTAATGATTCCCTTTTTAATATCACTACTACTTACCGTTGAAAATAATACGATATATATGCGTCTCCTTCCATGTTTAATTGGATATTCATGGGTGATTTTTTTTTTTTTTGAATACGTATTATTGTTACGTTTCAGGGCTAAGTTTCCACCCCAAGAGGCCGTGGGTTCTGGCCAGTTTGCACAACGGTGTCATCCAGCTGTGGGACTATCGCATGTGCACGCTCATTGACAAGTTTGACGAACATGACGGTAAAAAAATGCTAATATCAAATTGTCTAGATATACTGTATGTATAGATGGGTGAATGGATGTGTGATGGCAAAATAGTCAATTTCAAATGTCCGTGGAGACAATGATGGATGGATGGATGGATGGATATTTTTTGCACTCTGTTGACTTTGGATGCAATTTGTGTATGTTGTCACATAGGTCCCGTTCGAGGAATTGATTTCCACAAACAGCAGCCCCTGTTTGTGTCTGGAGGAGATGATTACAAAATCAAGGTAATATTTATTGTGGTCGCCATATTGGCTCTTCTTAAACCCAATGATATCAAATTAGATTTTTTTTTCCAAATCTTTTGCTGATGTATTTTTATTTGGCAAGGTGTGGAACTACAAGTTGAGACGCTGCCTCTTCACCTTACTCGGACACCTGGACTACATAAGGACTACCTTCTTCCACCATGTGAGTTGCTCTTCCATCGACAGAATTCTAAGAACTTTCCCAAACTTCTTGAAGGGGACATATGAAAAAAATACTTGATTTGTTGTATTGTAAAGAGTTGGCAACATGTTGGACTAGCCTGAAGCAGCCTGAAAACTCTTGGTGTCTCTCTAGTGTTTGTCACTGGAACATGGAAAATATTGCCACAACATACCCATTCATATGCTTCTTTTCTAGGAGTACCCTTGGATTCTGAGTGCCTCAGACGACCAAACCATTCGCATCTGGAACTGGCAGTCCAGGACTTGTGTCTGGTAAACTGAATAAAAGACCCAACATGGATAAATAGTGCTCAACTGCAAAATCGTAAAATTCCTCACTTTCTCATCTTCATTTCGACAGTGTGCTGACGGGCCACAACCACTATGTCATGTGCGCCCAGTTCCACCCCTCGGAGGACCTGGTTGTGTCAGCCAGCCTGGATCAGACTGTGCGAGTATGGGATATCTCCGGTGAGGGCTTTTAGGGGACAACACAGCACAGGAGGCTGGGTGAAGGTGGGGGTGGGGTCTCGGAAGTGAACACGCCATTGTTGGTACCATGTTTTTTCTGTTGAGGCGAAGGGAATCTACAAGCTAAACTACTACTACTTCCATTTCTCTTTCTACTTTCTTTTGGCAGTTGGCCAATACTTTTGGTACATTACTACCAACTTCTGCTCACTGGCAGTAATGTACCGAACATATCGGCCAACCTGCGAAAGAAAGTCAACACGATTAAGGGAATGGCGATATTAAGTGCTAGTATGAGCTCTGACTAAAAAGTACAAGTCGTGGGACCAGCCAAACTTAAAAAAATCGCAACATTCAGGACAGTACAATTGGTATATGGTTTTTGATATATATTGCAAAAAAATAAGATGAAAAATAAAATTTTAGCCACAAACGACAAATATTTGGGGGTTGGGAAAGTGTAAAGGAAATGCCACTTAAAATATTGAACAAACAGTTTGAAAATTCATCATGGTGTTCCATCAGAAAAACCTAGTACCGGTAATTCAACAGACGTGTTCACTTTCTATCAGATAAGAAAGAGGCTGAAACGGGATGTCGAGTTCACATCCCAAGTTGTCCTCTTGCTCTGCGATGTGTATCGGACAAACTGCGGGCTGAATGCACAAACGCCTCCTCCCACTAAAGATTTCTTTATCTGACTGTTAATCATGCTTGCTGAGTGAGGAAGTGTTTGCGTGCCTCTCTGCATGCTTCTTGATTTTTTTACATGTCTGCTTTTACCTTTCACAACTACCTAAACAATATCTCCTCTTCCCTCCTCACTCATGTCATCATCCCTCTGTGTGTGAGCTCAGCGGGCAATGTTTTTGCATTGGCGCCACCTTACTGTCCACTCACTTATACATTCATATTCACATGATTGAGTATTTCTTATACAGCCCCTCAATGGCAAATAATCAGCATCCGGGGACTACTCACCACTTCTCTGCAATTCCTCAGATCTGACATTTTAGGGGTTTTAGCATACGCCCCGCATGACACTTGCACCAAGTTAACACAAAGTAAAGTTTATATTCTTGTATTACGATTTGCTTTATGCTAACTAGTAACGTAAGTTGCATGTGACTCATCGAGCACGCATGAGCATTCAAGTAAAATAACATTGCACGTTCTTCACATCCGAAGCCCCATCAGAGCCCGTCTTTACAACGCCCATCACCCACACCCACACCCTCACTCCCTGTGTGCCCCCTTATCCGCTGCCCTCTCCGGAAACATCCACACTTGCACACAGGTTCCTCGTTCCATCCCATTTTCCGTTCATCTCTTCTCACTGCTGAACCAGACGCTCACCACATTGTTTGTTCAGGCGGGAAGCATCATCAACACAAGCTTCGCCGTGCAACCGAATCATTTAGTTTCCCCTCTCTAACCTAATCAGACGCTGCGTGCAGGAGAGCAAACGTTTGTGATGTTTCCATCCTGAGTGTGTGTGTCCGCTGGTCCAGCAGTTGTCCCGTCTTAGCTGCTGCTTCCTGTAGCCATTTGATTTGGTCTATCTGATTGTTTTGTTGACTATTTTCTTCCCCAATATGTTTGCTTCCCCGCGCCCTGCCGTCGCACCCGCGACTCTAAATGTTGGTTGCAGGTCTGAGGAAGAAGAACTTGTCGCCTGGCGCCGTGGAGACGGAGGTCCGCGGTATCTCCGGCGTTGACCTGTTTGGCGCCTCCGACGCAGTCGTCAAGCATGTGCTTGAGGTGAAATGGGCGCTGCTTTAAAAAAAAAAAAAATTGAGTGAGACGTGATGTCAATGTTTTCTTCAAAGTGTCTCAGGGTTTTTGAATCATCCCAAACTTAAAATGAACTTTTTTTTGCATACAAATACTCAGTTGACGATGATCCAATATACAAGATTATGAAAACAACCTACTAGTTTGAGCAGCGATGTTAGAATAAGCATACCACAAGAAGGCGTGCTTTTGAAAATTGTTGGTAGAGACGAATACAAACATTTTGACAAACGATAGCACAGCAGTCAGCTGTGTTTACTGCTTGTAGCAAAAGCTAATTTGCAACGCGCGTCCCTGGATGGGCGCCATACTTTCTGTTTGTCATTTGATTTAGATTTGGGGTCCAGAAGTGATTTTCATACAAGTACGTTACTCTACTATTCTTGAGTA